AGTTCCATTGGAGATTGTTATAATATCTATAAAAAATATTGAGATATATAAATGTTCCTATGTAATTATTTGAAAAAGAAGATGTTTCTATGATATCAATGTTAGATTGTTTTTCACATATTTCATGTATCGCATACACACAATGTTTAATATATTTGGTAACAAAATTTTGATTCCAATATATTGAATATATATGCATATATATATTCAAATGAAATACCGATCAAAATAGGCCGTAATGGTCAAGCTAGATCTCGAGTGCTTCTAATATATAATTGCGTGAATTTATATACTATAAATTATATAATTTTATATAATTTATACGTTTGTGTGTGTATGTATATAGTTACATTCATATCATTTTCTCAGTATTATTTTCTTCTTCACATATAAAATGTAATTAAGTAGTTTTAAAAATTAACAAAGCATGTAAACTTTTATCGTAATACAGCTTATGTAATGAAAAACATTCACAAATTTTATAAAATAAGAATGTACACTTGAATTTTATACTGATTCCTTATTCTATGTTTCAAAAATGTATGCTGCGTATATGTATAAAAAAAAAACGTTCAAGATTTATTCAGTTAAGAACTATTTGTTTTTTTTTTTTACTGATACATTTGCTTATGCTTATTTTAAATAAATGATATATACTCGATAATTTAATAACCAGTACTTTCTTTATTCTTCGTGTTATAGAATATACGCATGGGCGAAGGTAATGCGACCATTGTGTTTAAGACGCAATCTGCCGCCATGGTGTTTCACAAGAAATACCAACGTAAAATGCTCGATCTATCGCTGATAACTGTTCGTCTCGTGCCGCAAAGCGCACCCGCGAATAAAGTGGTTACGACTGTCGCGAAGAAATTCTAAAGGGGAAAGAATCTTGGAATATTCTCAGTATATCTTTAATGTTAATTTGACGTGAACCGTGACTTTCTTATAGATGTTACTTCTCTCGTTTCAGGATTTATCCAAACTTGTTAAATAGAAATATAAAAAAATGTACCTATATTTTATATATATATGCACATAACACATTTTACACACACACACACACACACACACACACACACACACACACACACACACACACACACACACACATATATATATATGTAATGTATATTCCCAAAAATATAATACACTACAGGAACTTGTAAATTTTACAAGATTCAACGCAACAATGATGTAAATGAAAAAATTTTGAAACATTCAAACTAATACTGAATGCGATCAAATATTATTTATAGATTCATCTGTATATACATATGATAAAAAATTGTATATTTCATATAAAATGCGATAATATGTACTGATTTGCATATAAAATAAAGTTACTCGCAGCAATAAATCAGTAAAGAAGAAGGTAGTAATATATGTATATAGATTATTATAGTGATACAGTAATAACGTAAAAATAAAAAAATATTTTCGGTCGGAAATATTCTACTGAAATCTACTAACATATATAATAAATATTTTTTTTATTATTAGTATTAGATTGCTCCTCGCCCTAATGAAGTAAACTGCAATGTTCATGAAACTAAAACAGAATCTTTACCTTCAATTTGCTTTTTTAGTGAACGCTGTACGATTTTTTTTCATCGAATTATTGAACGTTAAAGCAAAAGTGATTACTAAAAAAACAAATTGAAGGTAAAGATTTATTCTTCCAATTGTTGTGAACCGCGTTTTCATGTAATTTTTACCTCACGCAACAGACCTTTGTAAAGTTTGTGCAAAATTTTCAGATTTGACGGATATCCATTTGTGTCCTTATAACTCCGCAAAAGATTCATTATATTGTCAATTACAGATTTCAACCTTTAAAATATTTTTTTAATTTTTTGTCTGTGATAATTTTTTCACCGAATTTTGGTGTGAATATTACCTAATATTTAGCGTGTTTGAAAGTGTTCCCTATTTTTTATCGAGTATTGTATAATGTTGATGATCATGATGATATTGTTAAATCGAGTAAGAAATCAGCCGAAGAGATCAATACGCAGAAATTACATTATGATTATGTTTTATATTTATATTTGTTATTAAGAATTGAAAGATGAACGAAAAGCACGACTTGTCGTGATTCCTAATTGCCTAATTACTATATCAGTTTATCGCGTTACATGTAATTACATCCTGAATTTCATGATTGGCTGCCAATCAAGTGAATTTAATAGCCAATCGTAACACTTAAGAGATCTACACCACATTCTCCGTAACGGTAATTGTAAGACATATCATAAAAATTAGCCAAACAAAGTTGAAAGTTCTTGAAAATTCTTGATTGTGATTGACTTAATTCTTATGAGCCTTCTACAATAAGCCATACGTCATAAATCGGAAGTAAGAAACTAAAAATTGACAACTGTGATTGGTCCATTTCTAGCTTATGACTTATGATTTGTGACTTACGGCTTATTGTAGAAGGCCCATTACAGTACGTCTTAGGATGTTTTCACATGCAGGGCTGCGTTCAGAAAATACATCTACATAACTCTAGACTATATAGTTTACGTTACGTATATTATAGCAAAGATGCACTCAAGAGTTATCTGAGCATAATTTCTGAACGCACCCCAGTGTAACTTGCGTAAGCGTATCTTGTGTCAGCCAATTAAATTGTCTCAATTAGAATAATGCGTAGTAGCTGATATAATTTGATATTAATGATATTATTTAATTGATTGACCTAAGTTACGCTTGCGTAAGTTACGTTACATGCGAAAGCAGTCGTACGATTACTGTTACGGAGAGTATATATATACTATACATACTTTTCACATCGCTGAGAACAAAACTTTATGCATGCATGCAATATGCGATAATACGGAGATACCGTATTATCGCTACGCGCGCGATTCAGAATTATTGGGGATACACAAACAAATCTGGAAAAGACCAAACTGGTTTGTTAACCCCATAAAATTGCAACGTAGGTTCTTTCTTTACTTAAATTTTTAAAAAATTTAAGCATTTATACATCCTTAAAATTTTTTTCCGGATTTGTCTAATCTATGAGATTATAATTTGTTTTTTCCTTTTTTTTCCGTTAGTTTTAATTAACTGTCTTCATTTTAAATTATTGATTTTCGTATTTTTTTTATTTTTTTATTTTTCCCCGCTTCTTGAAATAGTCAAGAAGATGATGCTTTTCATCTTCTTTTAATCTTATTCAGTTGTTCTTCTTTTTTTTGATATATTTTATTCGTATTTTTTCGAAAAAATCATTAATTTAGTAAAATGAATTCTCAAACAATCGATACGAACTCGAAAAATAATCACTTGGGGATGTTACAATCTTTTTTTGTGTATAACTTTTCTTTGGAGGGTGGACAAATGAAAATAACGGGTGGACAAACGTGGACAAACAGTGGACAAACGAATGCAATAATGATTTTACCAATATTCGCATTTAGAGGTTCTAACTTCACAAAGCAGCTCTGTAAATTTGGCACCCCTAAATGCGAATATTGGTAAAATCATTATAGCATTCGTTTGTCCACTGTTTGTCCACGTTTGTCCACCCATTATTTTCGTTTGTCCATCCTATGTTTATTATATTTTTCGTAACAGTGTAAAATAATCACTTGGAGGTGTAACAATTTTTTTTTGTGCATAACTTTTTTTTGGAGGGTGGACAAATGAAAATAACGGGTGGACAAACGTGGACAAACAGTGGACAAACGAATGCAATAATGATATTACCAATATTCGCATTTACAGATTCCAACTTTACAGAGCTGCTTTGTGAAGTTGGCACCTTAAATGCGAATATTGGTAAAATCATTATTGCATTCGTTTGTCCACTGTTTATCCACGTTTGTCCTTCCGTTATTTTCATTTGTCCACCCTCCAAAAAAAAGTTATGCATAAAAAAATATTGTAACACCCCCAAATGATTATTTTACATTATTACGAAAAATATAATAAAAATAGGGTGGACAAATGAAAATAATGGGTGGACAATCACGTGCGCGTTGTGGACAAACGATACCCGTACATAATTATGAAAAATTATCACTTGGGGATGTTACAATTTTTTTTTGTGTATAACCTTTTTTTGCGGGGGGGACCAAAGAAAATAACGGGTGGACAAACGTGGACAAACAGTGGACAAACGAATGCAATAATGATATTACCAATATTCGCGTTTAGGGGTGCCAACTTCACAGAGCTCTACGCGCGCGATTCTTTTTTTTTTTTGAACGACCATATAATTTTCTCTTACAAAATTTACACCAAAGCATAGTCGATTAAGCTTTAAATTATAATTACATTTCTTTGCGTCTTATTAAATTCGTCATATTTGGAAAATCTTATTGATTTCCGCAACATTTCCGTCTGCCATATTGAATTTAAAAATTTGGAACACGGAATCAAAATCAGCGTTCGCGGTAACCCCCATTTACCTAATTTCGCTGAAATTTTTAAATTTTTGTGTATTTCGCAACACTTTCCGTCTGCCATTTTGGATCAGCCATTTGGATTTTCCTAATTTTGATCACGGATTCGAAATCAGCGTCCGCGTAAGCCCCCTTAATCCAAATTTCGCCGAAATCGGAAAACCTTTAAGATTTTCGCATCTTTTCCGTCCGCCATATTGGATAAGTTTTTTTTAATTATCATAATTTTTACCATGTTTTTAAAAGAGCGTCCCCGAAAATTCCTTGTTACCAAAATTCACCATTTTCGGATTACTTTAACTGCCTCAACGAATAGAGGCTTCCAAAAAACGTCTACACGCCTTTTTTAAGGTATGATTTTAAAAAAATGCAAATTTTGAAACACTTTGTACATAATATATAATAAATAATATGTAGTGTATAATACATATAATGTATAATATATACATATAAATAATATATATAATATATTTACATATAATTATAATATATTCGATTAAATTATATAACATTAACAGACTTGGATCTAAGGATCAAATCTGTATTTTTCAAATGTATACTCTTCATACATTCCTACCCCAGTTGTCACATAACAATCTTCGTTTTGTAATTTTGCTAACTTCTAAAATAATCGTTTCGTAAAACAATGAAATATTCTCTATTACATGCCAGGCTCATTCATCGAGATACGAAATGCATGCTTTCATTTTTCGGATGCTATCAGTCTACTTAACTGAAAATAAAATAAACTGTAAAATATACGTCAAAAACATATAAATTAGTGTAAATATTCATTAAACGACAGAAATTAATGTACGATTAGACACATACTAAAAATTATTAATGTAAAATGTAAAAATTACAATCTTTCTCTCTCTCTCTCCCATCTCAGAACGTAATCAACGGAGCTCCATTATTTTTTTGGTGCAAATAGAAATAATTGCGAAATGTCGTGTGCGCGCGCGGTGATAAGGAACGGCACGAGCGCCGCCGCGCTATGCCGTTATGTGAATCGAACGGCCGCTGTGATGGCTTATCACTGATACAACGACAGCGATAGCCTTGCGTTATTCTCGGAGTGTAGATTTATGTTAACATTAATGATTCTTTCGAATTTACAACCCATGCAATTATCATAAACCATGATTTACGTATGCAAAATATTGCATCGCTATAATACCACATGTATCATCGCAAAAAGACGTGAGATCTTCGTCGTCCCATTTTTCGCATTCTTCCACCGAAGACGTAAATATTATACAAAAAATAGATTCACAATCCTTGAGCGAAGCTCTTGTGTAATCCATAGTAATAGAATAAAATATTTACCTAATTAAAGGATCATACAACGCGATTCCCTATATGTTTCGCTCTAATAGATATTAACTCGGTGTAGTCTGATTCATCGCGAAACGTCTTCGCCGGCCACTGTAACACATGATCGTTATTTATACACAAATTCGAAAAATTATTACATGTGTATGCATCTTATTAAATTAAAATATAAAGTATAAAAATTATTACAGAGAAAAATGTATAAAATAACATCGTTAATATACATATATATATTATATTAATTCTTATTATTTCTATTTTTTCTCTGTCTTTTGTTACTTACTATGATATATGTGTAATATATTTTTAATTAAATTTTTCTTACATTATTTTTGGATCTGGTTGTCCATGTCCAGATGTCATAAGCGATTGAGATACAAGTTTTGACAAACTCATTAGCGTTTCCAGCTCGGCCAGTCTTTGATCCGACAAGCGTTTTTGTCGTCTGTAAACATGCAACCGATTATATTGGATACAACGCAATTAAAAAAAAAGAGTAAAAATTAATCTAAATACTCTAAATCAACTCACAATTTAGTCGGATTCGGTGAATTTCTCTGCTGAATGAACGTCGAGATTGTTTTTGGTTCTGCGATATTTTCTAGCTTTGAAATACGTGACTCCAACATATTCAAAAGCGACCTTACAAAATAGAAAAAAAAACAAAAATCAGATGAGATAGCATATTAAAAAATCAGGAAAAAATGCCAGTTTTTGCTTCTTATTAAAAAATATATCATTTATTAGAGGCATCTCTTTTATTACAAAACAATCGGTCTAAGTGCATCGCCAGCATAACGTAATAATGTCCAATATATTCGTAATATTGTTCTGATGTAATGTGCAATATATTCTGATGTAATATGTATACAACATATGTAAACGTATGTAAGAAAATTTTGCGTGAGAGAAACAAACGAAATCAATTCTATTGTTAAAACAAGACTGTGTACCAAAATGTCAATTACCTGATTTTCTACGATCAATAGATTAATCTTTGCGAGAATAATCGCGTGTGCGAAATAAATGATTACCTGCCGTTCGCGGGATGTCCACAGATAGATTTCGACAGCGCGAGTACCACGAGGGCGCAGATCGTCATCGAGGAGTACCTCATTTCAAGCGTATTTTTGGTCAACGCTGAGTGGAGAAATCTCGATGAGCGACGCAAGAGAAAACGTTTCTTCAGATGAGCTCAAACACGATTAACACGATCTTCAAAAGGTTGTCTGGTTTGTTATGTGTGAACTATTAAGTCGGAGTAGCAAACGTTATCGTATATATACGTGTCCCCCTCCCCATACATGTGCGAGCATTGATGCTTTTGCACCCGCCTTTCGATCGCTTCTATTCAAATTGCATCAAACTGAATTATTCCAGATACGAGGATCCCTTTGACAACTCTCGTAGAATTCCATCTGGATTTTATATTATAGAAAAAAATTCCCATTTGTTGCTCAATGTATTCTCTAAGTTATTGTTAATAATAATGATTTGTATTAATCAAAAAGAGTTGCGTTTTATCTATCTAAAAATAAAAGTAAAAAATAAAAAAGAAGCAAAAATGGAATTAAATATAGGTATAAGCTCGTTATAAATCCACGTCTTTCTGTTGAAACTAAACTTTCAGTTCTGAGTAACAACTCGAGTGTTTGGAAGATAATTAAAACTGTAAAGTGTACTCTTTATATTAAAATTATTACCGTTAATAGTTACAGCTATTATATATCAAATTATACGAAATTTATCCTTACATTCCCAGTTCACAATCGTCATATTGAATCCGTCATTTCAAATTTTGAAATTTAAGTGACGGTTTCGTAATCAGCGACATCAAAAACCTTCAAATATTAAGAATATGAACGAATTATAAATATACTAAAAAATGTTTGCCAAAAAGTTTGTATAAAATTTACGATTTTTTAATAAATAGTTAATTAACTAATAATTAATTATAATATCAAAAATTGAGCAAATTTTTGCTATAGTACAGTAATAAATATCTTTTTAATTTATTGCTATATTAGTAGATAATTCAACTGTCGGACGTTTTGATCACAAAAAGCGACTTTGTGCCCACAGTGTGTCGTCGGAAAATCTACGTAATAACTAGATTTTCCAGTTCAATCTAGTACGTCCTCTTCATCTTCTACGCAATATATTTAAATTTTTTTAAATAGAAGTCAAAGTGCATAAGACGTACACAAAATATTCATTTCTTATAGTCTGATTTAACAAGTACTCTGTATACAAATTCGATAACGATCCAGAAATCCTCGTTAAGAAATAAATTAAACGCAACTTTGGCAATTTTGTAAAAATGAGAAAATGAACTTTTGACCTCATTTTGATATAAGACTTTAATTGGGCATAGATATGTATATAATTTATATGCCTTATCCGATAATTATGTTCATTTAAGATTGCTCGTTAAAATTATGCTGTAAGAAAATTACAACTTCAATTAGCCGTGATAATTATAATTTTCAATTTAAATATTATATAATATTATTTAAGATATATTGTATAATTTTATATTAGATATTAAGTATATAATTTTTTAATATAACTTTTGTATAATATTTTTTAAAATATTTCTTTTTCCTCTTATTGTTTCTTTTCTAATATTTCTCTTTAACAAGTCTTTTATTTTAAATATTTCTCATTAAGATGAATATAATATCACATTTTTCTCATTCTATATTATTGTTACTTTTGAATCTTTACTCTAATCACGGACTTTCATTATACACAAATTAGACTTCATTAAACGAATCACGCAATGTATCATTACGAAATCACTTTACTGCTATTTAAGATTCCTTATTTTTATTTCTTACTTCCGGCATTAATCTATTACATTTCAATCGTTAAACCTTATCGCGCAACGTAATAATAATACGGAAGCAAAACTGATGTGCAAAAAAAAAAGGTAAACTTTAGTACATTTTGTGTCTAACGACAATATATGTGTATATATATTATATTTTTTCGTGAACATTTTCTTCTCTTCAAATAAAAATCAATGCAACGCACGTATCTGTATATATTAATTATATATTTGAAATTGAAAGTTTTTTTAATAGTATTTTTTTTTTCTGCCATGATAATTACTGAGACTGGAAATATACATGTTAGTGTAACATGACGAAATTTGTGCGCAAATGTAGTAACCTAGCAATATCAATAAAAACGACGTCGTTCTTGCTTAAGAATGCGAGAACTGCGTAAGAAGGAATGGGTACAGAAAAGTTATAGATGGATTTCATAAACTTATTACTTCCTTTAGTTTTTCTTACGTTAGGCCTTTGACCTGTGTTATACCTCTCTCATGTTTATGGTGCGCATGCTGCTTATTTAACCCTTAGTTCCGACCGTCCTTTTCGGCACCTTTAATTCCGACTCCAGGGTCGTTCGCGTCCGAGCGTTATTTGGGACAATAAAAACGCTTCAAAAAATCTGAAAAAATTCAAGTAACTTCCTTCAACCTTCAAGTTGAAGCCCCAATAGTAATATTTTGAAAAAAAAAAAGTTTTAATATTTTTTTTTATGCGCGCTCCCTACCCGTTTTCAAAAACTACAGCACTTTGAAAATTCGGCAGGGTCGTAAACGACCCTGGAGTCGGAACTAAGGGTTAATTATCACAAGCATATAGGACCTACAGTTTTAATGCCAGTTCCGAATGGCGGATTTTTCGAAAAATGTTTCTGTGGGCAAGAAAGAAAAAGAGAGAGAGAGAGAGAGAGAGAGAGATATGCGCTCCGGGAGGTTGCTGGCTTTTCCCGAGAAGAGACACGAGCATATAAACACTTATTTTGGTTCCTACCAGGAATCGAAGATTCCCGAGACCTCTGACATGACAGACCAGTGCGCTGTCTGCCATGCTACGCTCGATTTCATATAGATACTTATTACGATTAATTTTATTGATTCGATGATTACACTTAATACATTGGGTGGGCAATCCATGCTAAACGTTAACTCTAGTAAAAATAATTATTACGTTAAACAGGGCGAATAAGAGTCAAATTACAATTTAAAATCTAAATCTGATAATTTATTCTAATATTATATATTGCGAAGAATATCACGTAATTTTTGGCGTTTCGTCCCGGCTTCCACTACTGGACTCATCAGTAAGGCATTGTAGTAGAAGCTTATCTTATACACCTTGGTAAGTTATTAAATCGAGATTCTATATAAAGAGATATACGCGTGTCTCACCATTTGCGAATATCGATAGACCTCTGATGGCGAGTCGACGTAGTGATATTCTTCGCAATATCTAGTAAAAATAAAAATCAGAGCGTAAGTCGAATGTAATGGGAGGGTAATAGAATAGTATCATTTTTAAATATAATTTATAATTTTGGTTTGATAAACCCCTGACAGCACAGACCTCCAAGAAACGTTCAAAGGACGTTGACATCTCAAGGACATCTCCAGAATAAAATGTATAACTATTAAGAACTATCTTTGTAGGAAATAGAAATTAGTCTTTCGCTTAGTAATGTAGATATTAATTATTCCAGATTGAATCACATAGTGCATTGTTGCTTCTCTCGTGTTATAAGTAGTACTAAGTACAATTGGTCGGACTATCCCTCCCCGGTAGGTCGTTACGAAGAGAAATCTCTCTCTCTCTCTCTTATTATTTCATTTTTCTTTCAATTTTTGTCTTCCTTTTCGTATTTCTTTTTCGTTATTTTTTCTTAAAATTCTTGATGTTCTACCAAACTGGTAGTAAAAATTGTAATGTACGATTTATAGCACTTGAGAAGATGTAGAGGTATGTTCGCACACGTATTCATAGTCAGACCTTATATTTAAGACTTCCTTAAATTTATCTTTATATGTTCAATAGTCAATAAAATAATTTGTAGGGCATTTGAAGATAAATTCAAAAAAGCCTTAAACATAATGCTTTACTATAAATACGGGCAATAGTCTCAGAATACTTAATAAATAATGTTTCTCTTTCTCTCCTCTCTCTCTCTCTCTCTCTCTCTCTCTCTCTCTCTCTATCTCTCTCTCTCTCTCATTTTGCTATATAAGGTGTCTTGCACACAACGGATTATTTTTTAAGAGCGTGTTCCTTAGATAATTTTAAGTCGAAAATCCTAATAGGAAAATATTGGCTATAATATTTTTAAAATTGGTAGCCATTAAAATTCACTAACAATAAAAACTTACAAACAATAAAAATTCAATACAAGAAAGTGAGAACAAAAAATCCTGCGCGGTAATTTGTGTGCTAACTTAACAAATTGCATTGTATTTGATTTCAGGGAACGAAAGTAACTTGTAATTGTAATTTCGTAATTGTAACTTTTATTAGTTTTTCTAATCTTAGTATTACGAGGCATTCTAAAATAAAAAATTGTATTATAGCCTAAAACGAAATAATGTCAACAGTCGGAATCAATTGTAACGTCATAAACATTTGACTTCAAACAATGTTTTATAATGGACTCTGCGATCATATATTTAAACTTTAATTTAATAATAAATAAATAAATTAATTAAATAATTTATAATATGCTAAAATAATCAAACTTAAATATAAAAAAAAAAAATTTACATAGATACATTTACTTCAAATTAAAATATTGAAATCACAATTTTAATACACTCGTATATTAAAACTTTTGGTTATTAAAAATATAATTTTCTCTCTAAAACAATACACCTAGATCTTCAAGCAAAATGATAATCGGTTTTCAGTTATCTTTGTTCGTTCTATACTCAACAAACATATAATATGTCGGTCATAGATTTGTAAATATTTGGATTGTTGTTTCCGCCCCATGTTACTTTTGACCTCGCTCTACTCTACTATATTGATATCGTATGCATACATATATACTCTCAATTTTTAAATAAGTTAGAAGCTCCTAACTCATTTCTACAAGCATAGTCCCAGCAAATTACACATATAACTTAGTTGTAGGTGTTAATATTATACAATTAAGTATCAGGAATGTTATTATATGTAATATTATTATGTAACATTCGATAAATATAACATACTCTGGTACAGTTCTATATCAGCAAATTTAAACATATCATTTTTATATCAATAATATATTACTGTAATGTAATATAAACTCTTTTTACATATACATATGTAATTTTCAGACAGCACTTTGTTATGAAACGCTACGAAAGCGGACAGGATACGCAATAAAAAACGAGAATAAATTGCTTCAATAATTGATTAATTCTTTTTATTGCATTCATAATCGCGTATACATATATGTTCAAAGTAATCCGACGACGTTATTAGTAGAAAGGAAACATAAATGTATCGATACAGCGAAAATCTTTTCAAAGTAATCGATTTACATAATTTATGTTCTAAAAGATTCATACATAATCGTTCCCACATTTAATAAATAGATAAATAAATAAATAAATAAATAAATAGGGAAATAAATAAATAAATAAATATACAATAAAAATAAGTATACAAGTAAAATAGAGTAAATATTATAAATGACGATAAATAGTAAGTAGTAAGGAACGTAGACTCGCGAGGCACAGTCAATTAATATTAATAATACCTAAAATAATCTTCAAAAATCCAACTTACAAAACAAATAAAATTTGTCTAGAGCTCGGATTAGCAATGTCGCGTACACTCTCCATCGATACGTCATTGTCATTGCAATTAATTCCATAAATTAATACGCTTCTTTAATTTAACGAAAATTATATAATATAATCCTTCTATCAACATTGTACAAAGAGAAAAACTAAACAAGGATCATAAATGTATAAGGCCGAGCCCGGAATGCAATACGTGCCGCTTGCATTACGACATAAGAGCTTTAAAATCTGCGATTAAACGTTAATCTTGGTCCTTCGTATATAGAAGAAGACGCAGAGCAAACATTAATTTCGATGGATTGGCCGCAAAAATAATCGCCTTAATTCAAAGGAAACTCGCTAAAGTAAATTCGCAAGATTCTTTAGATATCTCTCGTTAATAGTTTCATTATAAACGCAATCGTAATTATAAACCGATTTGTAAGTTGATTAACGCAATTGTTTTCGATTTATTTTTCGGAAAAAGAATCTATTCAAAATATACAGCTTGATCGATCATTACATTGCAAAAATTTCGTGTTGAATTTAGTCGATTATAGTGGCAAAAAAATTATACGATCACACTTTTCTGTTGAAAATTTATCTTAGAATTTATCATAAAATTTTTATATTAGAGTCTTTTTTGCAATTTATGTATAATTTTATAACACTCTCTTTAGAAAGATTCTTTTATATACTCTTTAGAAAATTTCTTAGATTTTTTATACGTACTAAAACTTTTCAGAAATACGGGAAATATCTACATCTTTTTTAATATTCTTATATGAATTTTGAAATATTCTTATATGAATTTTGAAATATTCTCAGATTTTTATAATTTCGGAAAAAAATTTATAAAGGAGGAGGGTCAATAAGGCTGATTTTTGGGCTGAAATGTCGCATTTTTTCCATTGCATTTTTGAATAGTAGATATCAAGAGCTTCCCAAAACACCCTATTTAAACCCTTTTTCGTTGGGGTAAACGATAGTTACGATCGATCAAAGTTAGAGTAATATTGCTAAATGGGAATTATATTGGAAAACTTTAAGGCATTTTTCTCAGAAATCTTCATAAATTTAAAATATGACAAACTTTTTAAAATATTATAGCTATAAGAAATTTTTCACTTGAGTTGAGATTTACATGGTGAGATTTAACTTCTTTGTAAAAGTGAATGAATCTGCAGACGTACCTCCTTTTGGCTTCTTTTCAATGCCGCCAATGACCATACATTATAATATGTGATTATACACATTTTACAAAAAACATCGGTTGAATTATAAACGTCATTTATAAACGTTTCGCATAACTCACAGTAGTCGACTAAATCCGTGGTCGAGAGAAGCTCTTAGAAAAAAAGATATAGTGATGGCGACTACGAAGGTGAAGATAAGTTTTAGTGCAGAATTAATGTACATAAAGAATAAACTATTTTATAGTTGCAATGACTATAAAATAGTTTATTTAACTGTATACATTTCTTTTTTAATGAAAAGATCTAAGTGTTTCAATGATAATCGACTACGTACGAACGAAAACTCAGATAAATATATATCTCGAATTTGCTGACGAGAAACGTGTTTCGAGAATGAATCTTGCGAATTACACATTGTACGCGAATACTATTATAAAACGGCGTTCACATGTAAAATACTGTTTTCTCGTTAAGCCTCAAATACTTAAGTAAAGAACGCAGTCTGGATCGTGCCGTTTTTTTCCCCAAGGACACTGACACTTTGCACAGTAATTTGCTGTACGTTTTCGTTATCCCCCGCTGTTACCGTTCAAGTCTTAAGCACGTTACGCGTGTAACGTACATTTCCTATGCTCGTCGATAGATTACTTATTTTTTAGGTAAGACGTAAATTAATAAGTAAATTGGAAGCTCTCGGACGGAGGCTAGTCCGTAGTAGTGCGCTGTCGACGGATCACGGTTGAGAGATCAAATTAAATGTTCGTGTATGCGTGCGTGCGTGCGCGTGTGTATGTGTGTGCGTGTCTTTTTAATTATACTACACTTCCCTCTTCCCTATTTCACTATCTCTTTCTCTTTCTCTCTAGCACGCCTTTCCTTCTTCAATGTTGTCTCGTCTTCTGCTTTTCTTTCCTAACTTTCGCCTCATTCTTGAGCTACCCTATGAATTAAATCAACTGAGAGTCCCTTTGCTCCTCCCGCGAATCCGCCTTCTGCAATTAAAATATAGGAAATAGAATTAATTTAGATATTGAGACGATAGATTCGTAATTACGAACTAAGCGACACCGGACGATTCTCGCAAATATATTACCGCGATAATGTCATCGAGTCCTCCTACTTGTAGATTTACACATATTGCTAATTAAATATTTGAGGCTGCATATAAAATGTAAGAGTATTGCAGTAAAAATATACTATTAGAAAATTTATTTATTTATTTATTTATTTCAATTCAATAAATAAATAAATAAATTTTTTTATTATATTTCAAAAGTACTCTTGAAACCATTCAATTTTTATTGAATATTGGAAATTTTTTTTGTATCTCTTATAGTTTCAAAGATATTCGTTTCGAAAGAAAAAAATTTATTTTTTTCAAAGGGGTGTTTCACCCCCTTAGAGTGAAATTCCGCACCAACAGAAAACTTTGTGTTACGGATGAACTACTCTACTTGCACACAAAGTTTCAGAATTTTTTGAATTTTTGAGTTGCCTAACCTCCCTTGTAAGCGTTATTTTAACTAAGAGTTATTTTAGAAAAGTTCTCCATCAAAAAAATAAATTTTTTAATTATCAATAAGATTAGTAAAAAAAAAA